AAAAAAAAGGCATGATTCGTTCGTTGGTGTTAACAGCTATTGCGTTCGGGTAGTGTATGAGAAGGGTGTTGAGCTGAGTTCATTGCTTTGTTCAGTTGTGATTACAGTTGCAGTGCGCGGATGAGGTTTAATTTTGAATTAGAGACTTAACGATGGGAGGATTTGTTTTGTGGCCAAAGCTTATTGTTAGTAAAGTGATTATATCACTCGTATCGTGAATATATTACTGTAACTTTTAGTATGTCAGTTATCCAGGAAACTATGATATTTCTATTCCCTTCTTGATTTTTATGTGTTTTCAGAAAGACGATATTTAATTTGTGGGTATTATTTTGTTATATTACACATTCATTGTTTTCGATTTTTTTTCCATTTCTTGAACTTCATATTTCGAAATCGAACACGAAATGTTAAGTATTACGTATTTCGAGATGTGGTGTTGTTTTTGAAGGTGGATTTTGAGAATGTGAGATCAGGTTTATTGGAACTAGTTGTTTCTGTCGGTAGCATCGAGGAGATAACGATAACCATGCTTCATATTTACGTAGCGTGACTCTTCCTTGTATGTGCCTAATAGTGAGACGTTCATAGATCAAAAACTGTCGAAAAACAAAATGATTTTCATGCTCTCTTCCCTTTCAAAATTTTGCTCTTGCATATTCCAAAATTCTATGTGGTTTCCACTTTTCCTTGAGAAGTTCATTCGTTCGTTGTTCATTTCATGTAATTTTAAACGTAATTGTTCCTTTTTCTTTTGAATTCTCCTCTCTGAAGCCAAAATTTTGATGACATCTTTATAACGAGTTGAGTTGATTTTGTTTGTGTTTGAAATACTTCTTCATTCAGTTCATTGATCATCCTTATCCGAACATCTTGAGGATTCGGAGGATCGTTGAATAATAATTGATTACTCATACAGATTGGTATTGGAACCGTTTGTGTGTTTTGTACACATCTAGCTTTTCATAATATATTGCCGTTTGGAACGTTACATTTGATTCTTTTCACATGTTGACGTTGTTATCTTAATAAATGAGAAGGAGAGTGCATCGACGTTGCTCTTTATTCGACGAGTTTCTTTCTTTCCTTAGTTCGGTGTTGTATGTGCTATTTAATATTTCTGCGACGAGGAGGAAATGTCATAAAACATTTATTATACGTATGTGTATATGGTAAAATACTTATTTCCACTCAAAGTTAATTTCGCAACAACATCGCTCGATAATTGCATTTTCCAGTATCAAGGAAATGCATTTCATAACTTCGATTATTGGTTTGGCGGGTGTAGAGGTGTATCCTTCTGTATTGCCCAATAATTTCTAGCAAGAGGACAAGAGGAACTCCAAATATATTCACATCAGATTGAGTTTAATCAACTTCAGCTGAACATCCTAATCATCTGAAGTGAGTCTGTAAGAACTAGAGAGCGCACGCTGCTAACAATAAGAGAGTGGATTGTACAATTGTTTGCTCTTATGATAATATGATCACAAAATATCACTGCAGCAATGAGTTCATGAGCAGATGTTATCACGGAAACTTGCACAACAATACAAACACAACGCAGTAGATGATTGCAGAGACAGACATCTTATAAGTAGCAAAGGCACACAAATAAGGCACATTCAAGAATCATTACCTGGAGGTGATACAAGAGAATTTATACAAAAAATTGCTGTGTTGAATAGTGACTTTTCATTGTACGAAGAATGTGCACTTGATTTTACCCTCTAAACCGAATTCAATTGCATCACCCGGCTGTACACGGCAAACACCTTTCGGTGTTCCGGTCAACACCAAGTCGCCTTTCTCCAAAGTAATCAATTCGGTTATATATTCAATCAGCACCGGGATGCTGAAGATCATCTTATCCGTTCTACAACGCTGCTTCTCTTCGCCATTTATACGACAAAACAGTTCTTCGTTATGTGGATCAGGAATTTGTGACGTTACAATGAGTTTACTGACTGCGCATGACGTGTCAAAAGATTTCGCTAGATACCAGGGCGATGCAGCGGCTTTTGCTTCATCCTGAATATGTTTTGTTGGAAAGATGAAGTGCCGTTCTGGAGCACTAGATTTGAGAGGGACGCATATTGCACTTAATTCAGCCAATGTGTGAAATGCTCTGAAAACGTTCTGAGTGTTCCAATTTTGTGCTTAATAATGATCGTTCCCAAGTTTTCAATCAGTAAGCAAAAAACAGTCCCAGTAATGGGAATGAATCGATCATTCCGATTAGAAAATGGGATATTCTGTTGATTGTTCGAAGTCAACACCTGGAAATCTCTAGCAGTCATATCCAACGCCACCGTGTAACCACCAATGTAATCGAACACCCGATCGCGTTTCACGTTTTTTGCACGTTTCCCGATTACAACGCCCAGTTCAACTTCTTGATGAAGTTTTTCACAGCCTCGAGGTGTGACAATTGGTTCACCCTCACGTACGTAACTGTTCAGTGTTTTTGCAAACAGTAACGGTTTCTTGGGCAACGGATTGCCCAGTTCAATTGCATGATCCTGCAAAGTTCAGTTTCATTTACACGAGCTTGACTCGATTGCACAGATTCATTCGACTGTTTACTTTCTGTGAAATATTTCGCTACAAGGCATATAAAATCATTTAACGGGGTTGGAATAGCGGATTAATGAGCAGTGGTCAATGGTGCACGCCGAAAAATTTTCGGAGGGCGGAGAGGGAGAACTCACTTTTAGAATTTTCCGTTTACCGCACTCACAAGAACTGGAAGAAATTTACCGCGGAAGAAGTTCAATCTATCTGGGAATCTCCCGATAGAAATATTTTTCAGGTCGCATTGTTTTGATTGTGCTGATCGAAGAGAAAGGGAGCATACTGGCATATGCCAATAATGAGGACAGCTGTTTACAAATTCGGTGTTTGACTGCAAAAACTTGGCTCGATGTTTCGCTGTCAGTACATAGCTGAATTTATACATGTGGCACTAATGACAGCATAAAATTCAGCATTACAGAAAGCATCTCCAAGCATCCGACCCATCTCAATAGCTGCGTGCAGTTTTTGCTTGAGAAAATGGTTCTCAACCTCATCACGGAATTTCAGCATAGTTCTGTATTTGTCAAACTCCTCAGATTAATATTACTTTTCATCGAACTGAAAAAGTCCTCAATCCCTACGGCCTCGTAATAGTAGCCAATACTTTCCTCAGAAAATGAGTTCAGGGCTTAACTTTTTTCAGTTTTTTCAGTTCAAATTTTTCCTATTTTTTCAGAAGCGTT